CCCCCCCTCACACTCGCACACGCACACACAAACAACACACAAACACACATACACACACACACGCACCGCCGTCCGCGGCCCTGCTGCGACCCTCCCCTCAAATCACCGCCCCGGCCCTGGCAGTTTTTAACGTTTTGTTTTAATTTAGTTTTTTTGAATTATTACTCGGGGGTGCGGCCGCACTCTCGCCCCGCCTCCCCCGCGCCTCACGGCGGGCACACGCTGGAGCAGCCGGCAGTGCCCGCTGCCCCGGGTGAGGTGCAGGCCCCGCGTCCCGTCCCTTCAGGCTGCCACCAGCCCGGCCGCTCCCCGCCCGGACCCGCCGGTGCCGCTGTGCGGAAGGCGGTGTCCCGGCAGCGCGGCTGCGGCCAGGGCTTTCCCTGAGGAGTGCCCGCACCTCGCCGCCGGTCGGTGCTTGCCTGACAGAGACGGGACACACCGGGGCTCTGCTTTGGTACAGCCACCAAAAGTGTATAATAACAAATACTTGTAGTAATGGCGTGGGTCGTCTTGCCGACGCCGTTCTCCACAGACCAGCTTTTTGGGCTTCAATGGGAGTTTCAAGGATAAGGAGGCAAGAAGGAAAATGCAAAGCTGTCGTAGCTCGGGGGTTGCAGCCCCGCTTCCCTCTGCCGTGCCAAGCAATCCTCCTTGGCTCTCCATCAAGCAAGCCTTTCTTGCAGCTCCGGTGGGAAGAGCAGCTGGGTCAGGTGCATTCTGATAGCTGGGAGGACAAAGGAGCTTCCCCTTGCTGTCCTGGGAACTTGTGGGAAGAAATAGCTTGCACGGTGTTTTGCTAAATAAACAAGATGGATGGAGGGGGAGCTACATGAACCCACTGCCCTCGGGCTGGGTCCACTCTCAGCTTCAGCACAGCTTCAGGATGTGCTGTGTTCAGGGCTTTACTCCCACCTAGCCTTTAAAAAAGAAAAGAAGAAAAAAAAATCCAATGGTGTGAGACAGTTTAGTTACAGGGCTTCACTTTTTGCGGGCGAACATAACCCAATGTCAGGAAAATGCTCAAGCTGGTGTCTTTGAGACCAGCTTGGTGGTGGGGATGTGTCATCACATGGAGAGGTGCCAGCAAGGCTCTGCAGCACGATTTGGATATCAAAGGATCTGTATTCCCCTGGCTGCCCCGAACCACGCTGCTGCTGGTGCTCAAGTGTGTCTAAGCCAAAAATGGTAGTTCAAAAAGCTATCCATGATTCCTTGATGTAACACGGAGGGATCTTTTATTGTACCTGTGTCGGGTATTTAGGGAGCAGCAAGGCTCTGTTATGTTGAAAGAGAAATACTTTCCCTGGGGATTGGTTGCAATGGCAGTGGCTTGAAGGAACCAACCCCACTGCAGTGTCACAGGCAGCCGAGCTGAAATTCCTGACAGTAAGGATCCTGTGGGCGCTTTGATTTTCTGGTAGTCAAACACTCAGGAGCCTTAGCACCAAATTCAGCAGCTCCAGAGACATTCTTGGCTGTGCTGTAGACCTGGGGGCAAAGCAAGGAGCAGCCCTGCAGCTTCTCTGGAGGACTTGACCCGAGAGGAGCAGCTTATGGCATGCAGCGCGGGCAGGGGCGTTTTTCCTGGTGGATTCCCAGCAGTGCAGGGGAGCTGCCTGTGCCTTGTTGGGAGTGCACAGGTCGCTTGCTCAGCTCAGGCCATGTCATGCACTTGTCTCCAGCACCTGCAGAAGTGCTCTGGCTGGAGCAAGGGGCTTCCCTTGTGCTCGCTGTCAGACGTAGCTCAGGAGCATTACTTCAGTGGAGTAATAATGATGTTCTTTTATTACCTCGTCTCTAATTTCTGCTGAAAAGCTTTCACACAGGAAAGGGGAAGCTGCTGCCCTTGAAACTTTTCAAGAGAAAGCCTTCTGTATTGAAGTGCCACACTCAAGAGTAATAACTGGATTTTTATCATACAAAAATAGCTACAGGGATTTTTTTTTTTTTCATTAATAACGCACACCAGTAAACCCAGTCTCAAGGGAGAGCACACAGCCTTCAGCCACAGAGATTCTACACTTAGCTCAGGGATGGGCTTGATTTGTCCAAACTGGCTTCAGGGCTGCTGATGTTTCCAGCCAGATGTGGCCATCGGATCTAGGCCTGAGCACAGCACACAGCAAGTGCTTATGCTTTCCTAACAGTGCAGCTGGCTTCCCTACAGTCTGCAGGAAGGCAGGTACATCTTGTTCTCAGAAAATGCAATCTCCTTTGAAATCTCTTTATAAAAAAGTTAATGACTATGTAAGGATCCCGTAGAACAAGACATCATTAAACACTGTCTATGTTCACAATCAGCTTCCTGATGATAATCTGAGGAGAGAGAGCATCCAGCAATGTGCTACCCATCCCCAGAGAGTGGGGAGAAGAAATTTTCCTCTCCTGGTGCAGGTAAGGCAAAATGGTAACTGCATGGTTGGCGTGGACACCTTTTAGCTCCATGTGGCTTCAGCCAGTGTGCTGCAAGGTGGCCAAACGATGCTCAGGGAGAAGGGAAAAGGCCTCTGGAAAGGGCCTCTACACTACATGTTAGTTCTTGCACCTGCCAAAGGTGAGACAAAGCACTGCCCCTGGCTTGGCACGTGTCAGCAGGAAGGCTGCAGGTGGGGTGCTGGCTCAGTCCTGCTGCCACCTATGCATTACAGCCAGCTGACATGAGATTTTTAGGGTATTTTACCAAAACTTTGAGGACTTCAGTGGAAAGCAATGGAGGTCCAGTTGCGATAAAGCTTGAGAGGGTGAATGTGAGAAATAAAGGATGATGGGCAGTTAAGCAGCCCTGTTCTCGATGAGCCCGTTTAGCAGGCTGGGCTGTGCTCACGCAGGAGCAGAGCTACATGGGGCAGGGCTCGCATTGTGTCTTCAGGTCTATCACCTGCACAGCTGGCTCCTGGGCAGTTATGGTTTGCAATTAGATAGCATGTGAAAAAAAAAAAAATTAACTTGACTAGAGCACTGTGCTTTAGAGCTCTGAGTATGGTTCTTCCACTTTCAGTGGAGAAAGATCATTTGAGTTTATTCTTTGAAGGGAGCTCCATGTCTCCAGCTTATGCTCTTTTCCAATGCAATCTTTCTGTGGTTTGATGAACTATTTTTAATAACTCTTCTGACACTTTATTTGCTCACCTATAATAATTTCAAATTGCCTTGGAATCACTAGAGAATTTCTGAGACACATTTTGAAAATAATAAGTAAAGAAGTGCTTTGGAAATATTATGATTTCTCTCTGGTTTTGTGTCTTCCAAAGCAGTCTCCAGCCAGCCTTGTTTCTATTCACAGTAGAGTTGTATGGTGCATCTGAAGCTTGGCAAAGCCCAGCACCCCCCCCTTCCTCCTCTCTTTCCTTTCTTGAAAAGAGATGGCCCCGGGTTTAAAAGTTGATTTTTAGCTTTGATTGTGTGTATGTGCTATATGAATGCTAAGCAGCCTTTACAATGCATCCTTGTGATGTGCCCGGGAAGGCAGAGGCAGGCTGTGAGGGCTGCCTGGCCTCCCATCATCCCTACGGCTGCGGTGCGGTTTGATATGGACATGTTTTATTTACGAGCGAGCTTTAGGGTGAACCCAGCCGTGTTACGGGCAGTAGCTGAGGGACCGAATGGGCTGAGCCACTGGCACTTGTAAATCTGACACATTTGGAGCTGCTTTCTGCTGTGGAGGAGAGGTGTTTTTCCCAGTGGTGCTGTGGGCTGGAAAAGGAGGAGGCTACTGAGAGGCAGCAGAGACCTGCACAGGTGTGTCCTGCCTGGATGATAGGTGTAGTTTTGGCTCCTGGGTGACATCCTCCTTCTTGCTTCCAGCCCATCCTTTCTCAGGATGAGTAGCAGTGCCCCAAAGCCAAGGGGGAAGTTTCTCTTCCCTGCTGTATTGACAGCAGCTGAGACTGGGGTGCTGCTGTTCCGTCACTGGTGGCTGCACTGATGGAGTGAGAGCCAGAAAAGTGGACGTCAAGAAAGCATCAGTATGAATTCAGCCTCTTCTTCTCCATTTGTGTTTAGTGTCCCAAGTTCATCCCATGCAGCATTAACACATGAAATCCCCAGCTCTTTCAGAACAGCTCTCTGACAGAGTGGGCATCATTTCCATCCAGCTCAGAAGAGGGTTGGGGGTTTATGGCTTTGAAAAAATATATGATCTGGCTTTGTTACCTTTTTTAAACCAACCCTTCCCTTCTGGATGAGATGGCAACATCCCTCCGAGACCCATGCAGCTGGGGATGAGGTTTTTTGTAACAGAAATCTGCAAGCTGCCACAAGGCTAGAAAGAGAGCACCTGTGCTCCCTGGGGTATTTTCAGACTCACTACCATCTTTCCACGCTCCAGCTGATAACCAGAGATAAGGTTATCAGACAGGAGCTGTGGTCACCTGTGCTTTTTGCACTGCTTTTGGGAGTGATAAGTTGGGCTCTTGCAAAGGGAATCAATCGATGAAACCTGCCAGGGTGGGCAGGAGGCCGAGTCTTGCTGGAAAAGCCATGCTGCCATCCAGCCTGCATGCTGGCTCTGAGGGTGGTTCCCTGGCATGCCACCAGCCCTGCCTCTCTTCCCACTGGGATGAAGTTGAGGGGACACCCTGCTTCTCACTTCCCTGGGCAGAGAGGTAGGTGTGTGCCTGCTGAGGCAGGCGTGTGCCAACAACTGGGCACCCAGAGGAAGTTTAATCCCATAGAAAGTGAAGTGTTGCAAAGATTGCCTTGTTGATGGGCACAGGTAGGATGAGCACGCAGAGTCCCCTGTTCTCCTTTCAGCAGTGCCCTTCCATGTGCCAAATGTGCCTTCCTTAATCACAGCCCAGCATCTTAATATCCCAGCTCTACTGATGCTCCTGCTTTCTTTTGGGTAAGGGAGTGACTTTCCTTTTGGCTTTTGTGAATGTGAGGCAGCAACTCCTTTTGCTCTTGTTATTTTTGTGATGTTAGAAATCCACATATGCTGTGCCCCCAAGAGGAAACTTTCAAGGCATACCTGTATGGGATAGCGGGTAAAAGAGAGGAAAAAGAAACAGCAGACAATCCCTCCACCCCTTAGCCCAGCAGGCAGAGCAGTTAGTGGAGGGTGGGCACAAAGGCAGACACCAAGCACTGCAGGTGGGAGAAGCATCAAAGACATGGTCAAGCTATTCAGGAATAGTAATTTTCAACCAAAACAGTGGAAGGAGCTGTTTAAACACAGGTCTTTGAAGTTACAGACCTGCTTTCAGAGCTCAGTGAGTCAGTGAAGGTACCCGTTTTTATGGCTGCAGACAAAAGAAGGAAGGACATCTTTTGTGGGAAAACTAGCAGCCCTTGCAAGGCGTGTAGATAACGATTTTGGGACCTCTCAGGTGGACATGAGGTGAGGTGCGAGGCTTCTGCAGGAACTGCATGGAACTGGGGAGGGGAATGCCCTTCAGAAAGCCCGCGTCGACTATCTCGCCCTTCGGGAAAGGGTTCCGCTGGCCTGTGGGGACCTCTAGTGTGAGACTTGGCTTCGCACAGGACTCTGCGGTGGCAGGTGTTTAGGACTGGGCAAGGAAGTGGGATCCAGGGGGAAACGGGCTCCGGGTTTCCCTGTCCGCCTCTGTGAAACGGGATCTGGGTGTGCTCAGGGCAGGTGACACGGTGACTGTCGCTCGTGGCTGGGCTGACGTGGCTTGGTGTTACACACAGAGCTGTGCTCATACTTTCTTGAAGCCCTTCCAGATTTAACCTGTAACTCCACTGGTGGTCAGCTCTGTTATTTTTGTAGGGATCCTTCCTCTTGAAAATGCAGGTGACAACACTCCCATTTGTCCTCTAGTACCAGAAGTGATGGGTGCCCACAGTTCTGAATTCTGACGCAATCCTAACTCTGACAGTGTCTTATAAGGCATTTTCCACACCTGGTCTGTTCCCAGGGATCCTGCTCCTAAATGTTGGTGGCTTGGCATCAGCTGCCTCACCAGCCTGTTGTCCTCTCCCCAGTGCCCTCCTACCCTGCTGTCTGTCCATTGGTTTTCCTCAGATGGTCTCCAGCTGGTGGCCAGAGGAGGAAGGTCTCTGTCTGCACATGGGTACCTCAGTGCCTTCTGCTGGACATCAGGATACCTGGTTTTGGCACCTGGGGATACCTGGTTTTGGCACTGGCTGCGGCAGCTCTCACTGGTGTCTGGGGAGGCTGCAACCAAGATGATCTGCAAGAAAGCTAGTGATGTAGTCAGAAAATCATAACATGCTTTTTCCCGTGCTCATGGCTTTGTGCAACTTGCTTTCTCTTCTCTTTGCTTTACAAAATGCATCTTCCTTCCTTTTTTCACTCCTCTCCTCCACCTTCTTTGTCATCTTCCTGTTACTGCAGTTACTGTTGTGGGATTGTTTTACTTTTTCACTCCCTTTGCCACCTGACAGGAGTGCAATTATTCACCTGTTGTCCACCAGTCTAGTTCCAAAAGGATAATTAAGGCACTCAGTCATTCAGGCTCACTTTGGCCAGATCCTTCTTGAGACTTCTTTGGGATTTGCTTTTAAGAAATATGCATTCAGGAGACAGCTGGTTTTGAAGAAATCACCTGAGTCATCTGCAGCCACGGGTCCATGGAGTCTTCAGTGCTAGAAGAGGGGAAAGGAAGAGTTAAAATGTCAACGGACAGTGAGGGTCTCCTGAGCAGGGGATTATATGTCCATATAACCATTTTCCTGAATAAAATACTACCAAATGTGTTTTTTCCCTTATCTGCAAATGCAGGTTCTTATAGAAGCTCAGCCAAAGGTTATTGCCATGTGGTACTTTTACATGGGGAGAGAAGACTCTTACATAGATCTGTTTGGGGGGGTTTAATCTCTTCTTTAACAATAGGTTATTTTTTTAAACAGTGTTTTCCTAGATGTTTTTACCAAATATTATTTATATATATTATGAAAAAAATGTTATGGACAATGTTCATTAAGCAAAACTGCATCCCAGTGAAAGTCAAAATTGAGATATTTTGACACTGACTCTTGACTAATCAGTTTAATTCTTTTTTAAAGGAGCTTTGCTCCAAACTCCATGAAAGGTTGTTTTTCTGTATGCCTTTCCTTCTTCCCCAGCTGGCTGTGTGGGAGCTGACAGCAGCTAATTGAGGGCCTGTGCAGAAGGTGACTGCCCTAAAGAGGATTTAATAATCAGGCAGGAGGAGGTGCATCGGCACGTGGTGGGGACTCCACTTCCTGAGAGGCCCCACTGTGGCCATGCCTCCCTTTGGTGGAAACCCAGGCTTTATCAAGAGCTGGAGGGACCAACTGCCAGCTCTCTCTGGGGAAAAGCTGCCATGGAACTGAGGTGCGGGATGAGGACCACCAAGTGCCAGCTGCTGGTGACCAGCCTCTGTGTCATGGTGAGCAGGCAGGTTTGGGGGGATCTCTGCAGAACCGAGGTGAGCTGTTGCCTTTCCCATCCCCGCTCTGAGAGGGGATGGTTTTCCCACGTTCTGTTTTTGGCGGGTGGAGGGCAAGCACAGCCAACTGCCTGAGTTATCATTGCACCATGGGCGGTTATCACTGGCCACCAGCATCCCCCCCTCCTCTGATAGACTTCTGGTTTCTCAAGGCTGTCACACCACTGCAGCTCTTTCACAACTCAGCAGCTTCCTCCAAGGAGAAAGAATGCTGATGGCAGAATGGGTGGGAGCAAAAAATATATTTGCTCCTGTCTCCTTGGAGCAAAAGAGAGAGGATGGACCTGCAGCAGTCACACTTACTGCTGGGAGGGTGGTCGACTGCAGGTGGGATCAGTGAGGATATGAAACCACAAGACTTTGGTGGAAGTGTGTGTGAGAAATGTGTGGATTAGCACTGCAAAGCAAAAGTAATTCCAGGGACTCTTTATCAGCTTTTGAAGCAAATTCAAGGGGAGTTTCTGGACATCTGCTGTTAGAGCTGATGGGAAATGGTAGAAACTGGAGAACACTTCTCATGGTTGCTTTGACTTGTATGTTCTTGTTGCCTTTTCACTTCATCAAAACTTGCCAGCATTAAAAAAAATAATAATAGCAGTAATAACAATAATCTATATTTAGTTCAAAGAGGATTGGTGGCTTGTTAAGGGTTATTAAAAGGTAATACCTTATTTTGGGCCACAAATGAAGTTTGTAGTTTTTCCAAATTTCAACATTCCAAGACTGCAGTGGCTGTAAGGTGGTTCTCTCTTCCAAATAACAGAAAATGCCACTTGGAGGAAATGAAAGGAGGATTGGTACTAAGCATGTTTAGAGGAGACATAAGGCACAGCTGCTGTGAATGGTTAGAATCACATTCTCGTTGCTGTAAGGATTTTAGACTGGTGTTTCTCAGAAATCTGAGCTAACTGGTGTTGCACTTAATATTTTGCTGGGTGTGGGTCAAGATATGCAGTAATGCACAGTCTGAATGATCAGAACGTGACACAAATTAGGCTAGACAAAATGCTATGTTTTGGATGGATTTAGTCTCTGAGACTGTAAGCCTCCAGCAAAAGCTATTAGAAAATGTCACACAGTGGGGATTATGTTGAGATCACATTGTCACATTTGACACAGGTATAGCTCTCTCATGTTTCTGTATTGTAAAGGCACAAAATGATGAAGCCTTATCTTCAGAGCTAGGAGTAGCCTTACATTTTGTATTTTCCAGGCTCATTGCACTAGATTTGGAGTTCATTTTGCTGCTGGTGCCTTTGTCCCAGCTCTGCCACCAGTCATGCTGAATGGAGCCCAGCCATAGAGCCAGGTGCCATCAGAAATGTTCCCTCTCCATCACCTGGAGAGGTATGGACATGCAAGTAGTTACCCCATGCCTTAGGCATACAGGCACTCTCAGGGGTGGGACAGAAACAGACAATACCTTGCAGAGACAGAAACCACCACAGACAACTTAGAGTAGTACAGGACTCAGATCTCTGTGCTCTGCCATAGGAAACAGAGCCAACAGCAGGCAGTGAGACTGGCATTGCAAAGAGCAGAGCAGAGGACTTGACCCCTGCTCAAAACCCTTCTTGTAGCTGGCAGCCCTCATAGCCACACATGCACAGTCTGCAGAGTAGTGTGGCACTGCACAGGTGTGCTGCAAGAACATCAATCCTCTCAGTTTTCTTCATATGATGGGAATTTAATCCATAGGCACTGGCCAAGAGATTGTGGGCTGCACAGTATCACATGCACTCATTATGCAAGAGAGAAAAACAGGTTTAGTATTTTTAAGTGTCTGGGATTTGTCCTTTTATGTGCATTTTGGGGCACATGTGGTGGTCTCTGGATGATGAGGCTGTCTGCATTTGTATGGGGTTCAGAAGTATCCAGATACACCTCAAACCTTTGTGTGCACCCAGCAAGAGCTGTTGCCCTGTAAATCCCTTCCTGAAACCCTTCTTTTCCAGCTGCTGGGGCTCTCCATTGCCACGCTGAGCACAGTCACCCACTATGGGCTCCGTTTCACCCTCATTAGCAATGTCTCCCTGGACAGCAACACCTACAAGGCCATCCACCACACAGGTATGTTGTGGTCACATCCCAATGAGACCTTTGGTGATACCCAGCGCTGCAAAATTCCTTAAAGCTATAGAAGAAAATTCAGGGGTATCTCAAGAGGAGGAAGGAGCTGGGTTTTGGAGGATGCGTTAGGACTAACGCAGTCCCACAGGTACTTTCTTTCCCCATATCAGACCTGCATGCCTGTAACCAAAAGATGCTGTGGGTGCATGGGGTGCTCAGGTGCTTCTGTGTTTGCACCTGTTCCTCTATTCTCTGACCCTGTGCTGTGGTAAGAGCTCAGGAGGAGCTCCTCAGTCCCTAAAAGTGCACTGGGGCTGGAAAAACAAGGAGAGGAAATACCGGAGTTGATACAGAACATAGAAAATTGAGGCTGGGAGGAGAAGTGCATGGCAGCAGGACCTCGAGCTTTTCTGAGAAAATGTGTGGTATTTTCGTTTTCACAAGGGAGAAGTATAAACTGAGTCTCAGGTACAAGGCTAGAGCAAAGGTAGCCCAGATACTAAAATACCCTGCTCACCACAGCTGCACTTGCATCTGCTGCTTCTCCCGAGCTGCACTCTGGTCTTAAACATGCTCATACCCTCTCAAGATCCAGCTCTTGATTTCAGTTTAACAAGGCAGGTGTAAAAACTGTGTTAGTCCAAGGCTAAGGTATATTCCTTCCCTGTTTCTACACATATATACTGCTACTGACTGCAGCCTTGCAGGCTCTCCCACCCCAGCCACCCATTGCCAGCAACGCTTCCACTTGCCTTGTTTACAGGCATTACCTCTGTGTGGTTAGGCTAGCAAAGCCCTTTGCAGCGCTGTGGTCCCTGAGCCCTGCTCCAGGGTACTGGCTGTGATCCTGCCTGAGCCAGGAGGAAACCAGAGGGTGAGTGTTGCACCAGATTAGCAGTGCCCGGAGTCTTGATAGAGGCTGTGGGACAGCTGCTGCACACCAGCACCCCCCATCTGGGGGGGATCCTTATCAGAATGCTGAAGTAATTGGAAGCTTCTGGTCTGTTGGGTGGACCAACAGCCTTTTAGGCTGCTTCACTCTGCTGGTGCTTACAGCCTTGCCAGACATACAGAGAAAAGCACACACAGATGGGGGGTATTGAATGAATTACAGAAAAATTTCAGTTCTGCAACCTGGTCATTTGGGGCCAGCTCCCCAAAATGCACTTTTCGGCTCCTCTCTGGGTCAAGCATCAGACTAGGCCTCTGGCATCTGACCACAACTCCCACATCTGTCTTCCAGCTTTCTACTTCGGGATCTGCCTGAGCATGACCCTGATCCTGGCAGCCTTGCTGAGCTCTGCTGCCACAGTGCGGGAATCGCAGTGCCTCACTGCCATGGTGCGTATCCATACCTGCAGGGACTGCCTGGGAGGAGCTTTTTGTCACCTGGGGCTGGCCCCCTTAACGTGCAGTGCTGGGGTCTGCGCTGCCTTATCCCTGCTCACTGTGTGTTTTCCCGTATGAAGGGCAGTAGTTAACAGGTAGGTTGTTGAGCATGAAATCTTGCTTAATATAAAATAATTGCATTGCTGTCATACACTAAAGAGTTATCTAATTTGTGTAATTGGGGTAAATGATACTGATGGCAGAAATGAGAAGCTGACACCTGAAAATTCAGCACAAAGCAGCCACTGAATGTTTTCACCTTCTCAATACACCATCTTCCTTTCTCTGTTTGAGATGCCCAAAGGGGTCTCAGTTCCCATGAATTAAGCAGAATGTGTAACTCCCCTTTTGTTGAAGTGTCTTTAATGTGTGCCTCCAATTACCACATCTAAACCAACAGATGGGTATGTACAGATCAGTGGAGAATGTTGTGGCTGCCTGAAGATACAGTCAAACTTCTCCATAATGTTTATTTGTTGCCTTACTCCCTGGTATACTTTGGCGCATGCCACTCCATAGAACAGGCTGTTAAAAAGAGTGCCAGCACATAATGAGCGAAGTCCAGAGCTCTGTCCAAAGAGCATTGTCCAAGGGCCACAAGATGCTGCTCTCCATTCCCATTTTAACATGGGTGATCCTTTCCTCCAGCCGCCCATCATCTCCCACAGCCCGGCTGGTTTGGGATGTCACAGCCAAGCTTTGCTCGCTAAAGTAACCTGTGACTGGCAGAACCCTCAAACTGGCTATTTATTTTTGTGGCTCCTAGTGTGCCCTGTTGGCTTGTCTTTAGCTTCCACAGTTTTGCTCCTCTGGGGGATGTGGTCGTGTGCATTCTGGCCCCTGATTGCACGTTTGCAGGGCAGTCACGGTACCGCTGCCTTGCGGGGAGCAGAGGAAAGCTGCGAGGTGCCTTCCCCGCAGCTGTGGCGACAAGGCTTCACGCCACGCTGCTCTCAGCAGGGATAACGGGATGCCCCTGGGCTGTCTTTAAGCTCGGTTCCGCCGCCGCCGTGCCGGGCCGTGGGGCAGGAGGCGAGCGGCGGCCGCGCGGGGCCGCTCCAGCGCCGCGCTCCGCCGCTGGAAGGGGCGGAAGGGCCGCGGGCCCGCCCCGGGCATGCCGCGGAACGGGAGCGGCCTCCGCCGCCCCTGCGGCGTGGGGCCACGTCCCGGCCCTGAGGAGTTAACGGGAACCCTGGGAGGCGCTCCAGAGCTGGCCACGAGCAAGGGCACTCTCGGCTCCAAGCCGCTGAAGGAGCTCATCGGCGTCCTGAGTCACTCAGTGGGGACTGCGCCTGTTATAAATCGCCTCTCCCCTCCCAGCCGTATCGTCCACCAAGGGCCAGCTCGCTGCTTGTGTTGCCCCCAGTTCCCACTCCAAAGGCACTCATTTAATCATTGATCTGCCAGCAAGAAGCGAGAGCGGGGAGAGCCAGCCCTGACGGCTGCAGTGAGGTGTGATCGGGTTTGGGGTTTGGCCCTGTGGGGCTCCAAAACTAGTCGATGTGTTGTCCAGCCCGGCTGATCCCTGCTGTGCTGTAGCTCACAGCAGCGATCGGCCCTGCTGCTTGGAGCTTTTTTCCTCCTTCTGCAAGAGAGAGAATCATCTTCCCCCGCTATTGATTTTAAAGGACTTTTCCTCCCTGCATAGAGTGTGTCTTATTTAGAAGACCATTTAATTCACTCTTTAATCACAGAGGGAAGACACCAGACTATTTGCCTGACATCTGTGGCTGTTCAGGAAACCGAGCCATGCGTGGGGGGATGTCTGCATCGATGTGGCTGGTCCACCACAATGCCACTTGGTAAACCAGCCACCCTGGGGAAAAACTGACAAAGATCCAGATTGGGTTTACAGGAGCTTTTTTTTTTTTTTTTTTTTTTTTTGTCTGTTTGGATTATATATCGTCATGCTGCCTAGTTATCTGGAGGTTTGTGTGCCTACAGAGGAGGAGTCTCTGGTCTTTGCAGGCCTTTCTGGTGGTGTTCTAATAATAGTAATGGGTGCACAGTGGTTAGAAACCAGGACAGGTCAAACTGGTTTAAGCCCACAGGTCTCAGGAGATTGTCTTCTAGCTGCATTAGCAGCATCATGAGACCAGACAGATGCTACTGTGCATCCAGTGCTGCTTGTGAAGAAGCTGGTTCCAAGAAAGTAATTGAGAACTTAAGGATAAAAAATTATGTGCTAAAATCCAGCAGTATTACACCTAAAGCTCCTCTTAAACAGGGAGAATAGCAACAGGCTTATTGACTGTCCTCCATCTCAGGCAAACTCTGCTTTCTGGTGATCCATGGCCCATCATGCAGTCAATCCTGAATGTAAATATCCTGCAGCTTTATAGCCCCTGGAGGCCATGTTGCTATTGAAGGGGAGGAAAAGGAAGGAAAACAGCAGTTTTCCTGTTTGCATAAAGGAAAGACTCCAGTATCAGTGAGGTTTAAAGCACCATGTATTGTTACCTGGTCAGACTGATAGAGAAAGAAAAGAAAAAAAACAAGGAGCAACATGCCAGCTGAAATTCTCACATCTGAACTTTACAGTCTGAAACCTGACTAGTACAGGGGAAAATTTGTGATCAGGATGGAGCAGATGTTCCCAAAAAATGCAGTGGAAAAAGCCTCAGTGAATACCCAATATAACCCGGTTTTTCATCAAGATTGATGAGCTAGTAGGGGCAGCACACAGCACAGGCTGTTTGCTTTATTATACCCAGGTGTAAACCAGTGTGTAGAGGATCCTTAATGCCACTGCAGCACACTTCAGCCTCTTCCTTTCTAATTTAATCTGCCTCGGGTGCTCTCTCTCATGGTGCAACACTTCTGGGTGAGGCAGCTGTGTGCCAGTAGCAGAACTGGTACCAAGGACAGATTCCTCTTTTGGACTGATGTCACTGACTCGTGTTTGCTCTGTGGAAGGGCAAAACCACTGCATGCTTTTAGATGAACTAGGTCAGGCAGAGAGGGACACAACCTGATGGATGCCATCTGAAATTTGCCCCCCCTTTCCCTGCCCTTGGGCTCTGCATTCTGGCAGGGAGTTGGCCTTTGCAATGACCACAGCAGCACAAAAAACAGCTGGAGCAGAGCAGGACAGAGGTCTGCTCCTTCCCTGGAAGTGTGGGAGCTTGGCAGGACACAGCCACAGAGCACAGTATGAGCTAAAGGATCCCCCCCTCATCCAAAGTGGGCCCCCTTCACCAAAGGGGAAGCATCAGAAAGGTGAATTAAAAGAAACACCAGCCAACAGACAGGGTGCTGTTCCTGTGGATTCTGCCAAGTCTGTCAAAGAGAAATTGTTCCTTGCAGCAAGGATGGAAGCAAGGTCATTCATAAAAGAGTAATTGATGTGTGCCTGGTGACAGCCCTCCACAGGGCTGAGGTGGCTGTCTCTTGCAAAGGGAGCAGGCAGCAGCCTGTGGCTGGCTCCGAGGAGCTCCGAGGGTCTGGAAGATGGTGAACCAGCCTCAACCCTTCCACATTTTGTATGCAAACTGCACGTTGCCTTTTTCTTTTTTCTTCCAAATGTCTTCTAATGTAATTAGAAAGTTGCTCTTCCAAAAGCCTTTTGGCTGGGAAGGGAAAAAGCAGGCTATAATTCATTTATAAGATGTTCTTGGAGCCATGTAATTGCTGTGCACCAGCTGGATGGAGGGGGAGCTTCCCAAGGGGCTGCATCTTGGTGTTCCCAGAGAAACCAGACAGAAATAAAGGGAGAGCTGATGCTGAAGGACTGAGATGTGGGGTGGAGCTGAGGAAGGGAAGATGAGAAGGAGGATTTTTATCTGCTGTGGGTTCTGGCCCCAGAGAGATGTTGTAAGTGCTGGAGCTGGTGGGGAAGGAAGAGAGAGCACAGGGGAAGGAATTTGGGTTGTCACTGGCATCCTGTTGTTCATGCTCTCTGGGTTAATGGTGGGTCACCTGAATTACAGCTTTAATGGAATGATATGCAGAAGAGTGGTCACATTGCTATCAGTGCTGTTTTTTCCATCTGACTAATTTTATTTTTTAAAAAATTTTCTTTTCTTTGAACTTGATTTTGGTGAAAATGCTGTTTGTTTGGTGGGAAAGTTGTTGGAGGCGTGCAAAATGCAGGGTCTGGTCCTGCTGAGGGGCATCCTGACATGCCTGTGTAACTTCACCTTCTCCCTCCAATTTGTGCTGTACCTGCAGGGTTGAACCCCCCACTCCAGCACTCCAGCTGCGTTTTGGTCTGAGATGTCTTGCCCAGTAAGCTCTTCCATATCTTCATGACTTGTAACCACCTTGTCATGTTAGTGTTTGATCAGACTTTTCCTCTCATCTCCTTTAGGGTCTCGGGTAATCTCATTTTAGCTCCTAGCAAGGCAAGAAGTGATCTTATCAGCTATATGGCCAGGCAGATGCCAAAAAAATAAATGAAAGGAGAGACTGGACATGCATAATTTAAGATTTTTCGTAAGAGCTGTACCAGGGTTTTCCCCAGTGTCTGAAGCAGAGCCTGAAACAAGGCAGCCCCAAAAAAGTGGTGAATACCAGTGGCAGTCTTGTTCCAGGAGCAAAGTCCCCAGGCAAGGCAGAGAAACAGAGCAGATGGACAAGAGCCAGCAAAAGGATTTTACTGGCACATTCACTTTCATTTCCAGGATTTGAAGTAACACATTTTCCTTTCTTGCTGCAAAAGCATGAGTTTGGAGCCTTTTTTTTTTAACTATATCTTTCAAGCAATTTTTTTTTTTTTTTTTTTGTGAAGAAGAACTGGTAGAAGCAATGTTCTTCCTTTCTTAAGCTTGAATTTGGTAAAATTTAATGAAAGATTTAAACTTTTCCAAGTTATTTCAACTATATCATACAATGAAAACAGTCACAGAAAAAATTAGAAACCAAAATAAGATGCAGTCAGCTGGGTAAGTTTCCCACATAACGTTGTGTTGAAAGAGGCACAGTTTAATGGAAAAACTTGTAAGGGCATTAATTTTCAACTGATGCTTATTCATCACCTTTTGTCATTCCAAGATTAAGCTGTGGATTCATATTGGATGAGCCCATTTAGCCTTCAAACGCTTTACAGGCATTTTTCCCTTCTTCTTTTTCTTTTAAATGTGAACAAGATCATTTGGTCCAGCTGTCACAGCAGGCGAGTGCTTTTTATATCAGGGTGTGTGGTTTTTGGTCCAGATTTGTTCAAATAAAAACACAAAGCATGTAACTTCCAGCTCTGCAAGCCTAAGGAAGAAGACAAAAGTCAAGCCATGTCCTGCTTCGTTGCTGTTATTGTTTAGACACTTCAGGGTCAGTTTCTGGCCTTGATTATATTTCTGTCATCCTGTTGTCTAACTAGGATGGTGCTGATCTAAGGAAAGCAGCTTGGCCGTGCAGCTGCCACCTTGCTCACAGAGTAAGTCCAGCTCTTCTTCCAGAGCAGGTTGATTTCTATCTCTGTCCCAGTTATTTCCTTCTTTATGGACTATTTGTGTGGGTTTTCCCCTCTTTGAAGCCAATAGCCAAGTTTTAAATGCAGGGGATTGAATCCCATGATTATGGAGTATAGTCCTGCAGCAGAAGGGAAGCATATTGTAAATATAATGTTTTATACCTTTCTTTGTCCAAGAGGAATTTGCTCAGAATAGATTAACTGCTCTGCAGGAAGCTGCCTGGTTTTTTGGTCAAACTCTTCAATTTACCACAGTGTAATTAGAGGTCTCCTGATGGAGAACCACATTATTGTCCATGTAATTTCTTTTAAGTAACTGACATTATGAGGGATATTAAAAGAAGGTGATGTTTAAACTTTAATGAAACTTGCTTAAACAAGCATATTAAATATGTCCTGATTGTGTTTGCAAATGGGTATTTTTCTCCCCAGTCTGTAACTGTTGGTATTTTTCCTGTTTATCCTCAGGGATTTTTCTGTTTTGCTCTGGCCTTTTGTGGATTGATCCCAGCTGCCTGCTGGAGATACACACACAGCACAGAGGTAAGTGTTGGCTGCTAGGAAATACCACCAGCATCTCGTCAGAGATTTTTTTCATAGCAACTATTCCTCCCATAAAAGGGACATCTGGTGTTATTTAAGCCATCCATATTGAGGTCTATCAGATGCATGCTCTGTTGCATCCATCCTTTGGAAGGAAAGGGTCACCTTCATCAGATACCTCTTCAGAGAGAAGCCCTTTCTGAAGAGAGAAACCCATGGAAAATCTCATGCAGGGCAAATGCTCTGTGCTGAAGGCAAAACAAAATGCAACTCTCCTTAGCTTTGGGATGTTTTTTTTCAGGGAATGCTTGCTTTGTTTTGTTTTGTTTTAAATGAGATGCTTGACTTTTGAAAAGTCATTTCCAGCTGGTTCTAATTCCTGCTAATGTCAATTGGGAGCCTTTATTTGAAGGCAGTGGCCAGGAGAAGCACCCAGGAGATGTGTTTATTAACATGCAGCAGTGGTACATGAAAAACACAAGAAAAATGGTGTTTTGGGTCACTACAAAGCTCGACCAGAAAGAGAAGATTATAGGAGGCTGAATTTGGAAGAAAGTTGGGGTTTGAATTTTTAACTCAGAGCTTCCTGGTGCTGGGGTAGATGGGTGATGTGGGACATGCAAGGTGCTGGGTAAGTTGGTCTTTATTCCCCTTTTTGCATCCCTTCACTCAAAAAATACAAAATTTAAGAGACTTGTCAGTGTAAAAAAATCATGACATCTTTCTTTTGAAAGCAGAACACTGGTATTTTTGGCAGGTATCTAAATAATTTAGAGAAGTGCTTGGGACTTTGATAGGTGCTTCATGCAGTAGCTCAGTCCTTGTCTTTATTTTGCTCCTCCCCAGCCCTGGGCATAACCTGCTATGTTCTGGGTACCAGTGAGGATGTATTGTGAAACATCATCCCAGTGAATTAGGAATTGATGCTGCTGGCTCATCTTTTTATGGTTACATATACTGGGGGTGATCAAAGACCAGTCTGAAGTGTCTGGCCTTGAGATTTCCTTCTGTGATGGAAGAGCTGGCCTTGAGGTTTCCTTCTGTGGTGGAGGAGCACAACTCCATCAAAATCCCACTCATTCCAGGCTAGGACTGTAGCAATTGCTTTTGCAGGCACAAGGAGCCCTGCACTGTAATGGTTCAGTGTCCTGTGCATAAATTAAAACTCAGTCTTCCTGAAAGTGGACGTCAAGTATAAGGTGAAGGATAAGGTCCTGCTTCTCTAGAAAGTTTTCCCAGAGCTGTCCAGTGCCCAGTGTAGTTGAAAATCCTTTGAAATGTGCAGGTGGCTATACTGGACCAGGCTAAAGTTGTTGGCCAAGGTAGGAGCTGTTGGGCAAGGAGATTTTCTGGCTGACCTGCTGTTAGCCAAGGTAGCAGCATACAAACCCAGCAAACACAAAGCAATGCTTTTTCAGATGCCAGCAGCTTGTGGCCCAGGTGTCTGCTAGTAGCAACTGCTGGTGTCTTTGCCTTTAATGTTCTCCCTGGGTTTTTCCTCTGTGAATTTGTCCAGCTGCTTTGGAAACAGGTGAGTGCTGATGGCACAGCAGCATCTTTTATATCTATGCTTAAATGGCTGAAGTGGAATCAATCAGAGCTGGGGCATCCATGAAAAAATGTCCTTCCACAGCCTCTTTATTTTTTTTCCTTATTGTTTCAGGCAAAACTATCAACATTTATTACATTCCCACTAACAGTTTAATTTGGAAATAATTTGGTTTTCATGACCAACACAGAAGGGAGCACACTTCTCCTTCTGCGGACATTAAATTGTAGATTGAAGCACAGTCCGTGTCAGTAAAGGAGAAATGGCACCAGAAACTGTCTGGTTGGCATTGTGAGACTGTGTTTTCTAAACAGACTATTTAGTTTTACTGTTAATCCACATACATGGTGTAGGGCGTAAAAAGACTGTAAGAAAAAGGTTGTATGTTGTGTTATGTAATGCAGGCATGTGCCATGCAAAAAATATTTTGCTGAAAATATTTAAAGGAGTATTGCTTTGTATATCTCTTGATCAGTACATCTGTTTTTACTTCAAATTATTTTCATGTGGTTTTTTGCTCTGAGTGCCCTGTCCACAAATGAACCCATGGTTATGATTAGCTTTGGTAATTGGTCGGGTTTCTGTAAGCAAAACAGCTTCCACTAGGCAAAATTAGGTGGTTTTGTAAAAGCTTGACTTTCTGAGCAAAGAAAATCAGCAGTGTTTCTGACAACAGAAAAAAAAAAATACCCCTAGAGACCATCTTGTGTTTCTCTGCTTCCTAAAATCCAAGGAAAAGCAGAGAATATAAATGAGGAAGATTTAATTAGAAGTGTCACTTTCTGAACGTGTGGAAATTTAGTTTCAACCGAAAAGTAACTTGTCTCACTAGACAGAGGATGCAGACGTGAGAGAAAAATACAGGTGACTGAAAGAAATGCAGATGTGTCTGCCCCTCCAGGACAGGAACACAGTGATACAGAAAATTGGATGAAGTAGGGATAAGACCTCTGAAGTCTCATTATAGAGCTGTTTGTTTGCTTGTCTTTCTCAAAAGAAAGAACAAAATTCAAGCAGGTGTCCTCTGCTGCCTACTGCATGTCAGTACTCTCAAAAATAGTTAATTGTGGCAATCTGGGGTGGGGGAAATCAAACCCAGCCAAGTGGGTGGGTGTCTTGTAAGCATGATGGGATGTACACAGCTATCAAGAAAGGAATGGAACTGAGGATGTAAAACTGAATGTGGATGAATATGGCCATTACACGTGCCTGAATCACTGAGAGCACTGAGGGGTACTGCCCCCACGATCATGGCTGGAAAAAGAATTTCAATTTTTCCTATGAAAAATACATTGATTTTCCAGTGGAATGCCAGACAGAAAATTAGGCTGTTCATTTTGGAAATGCCAGCTGGGAGCTGGTGTCAGTAGTTCCTGTCCTCTCCCTTGCTGCTGGCAAGGTTCTGAACACAAGCAGCATTGAAAACAGTCCTCCCCTCCCTTTGCAAGCTGGGGATGGGAGATCTCTCCTGCACTGATCCATGGCAGATGCTTCAGTGGTTTACTCCTGTTGGTAAAAAAAAATTTAAAAACCCCCTACATTTTCTTCATAAAGCAGAATCCTCTCACAGAAAATCTTCTGAAAGAGTAAACCCCACTACTCAGTTGAAAAATTGTTTTCATGGTTATTGTCAAGAGACAATAGGTAGAAATTTAGTTTGAATATGGTGAAAACAAGATGCTCTTTTTGCCTGTGTGGCTCTTTTAGGGCCTTTTTTACAGGACATCCTACAGAGAAGTTGGGCAGGGAGAAAGGAAGAGTTATTTGTAAATATTTGGTATTCTCAGACCTGGGCACTGTAAACAAGATGAATCATCTTATTTCCCTTTCTTTTCTGCTTTCATGACTTACTGTAGCTTCTGGATGAATTCTTTCAGACAGATGTTGAATGTTTTAATTTTAAGTTATCTGCATTCCAGATGGACTCGATGTCACCATAGTCTGTTTTCTTGTGATGCATGCCAGACATGCAGCAGTCATGAACCTGAGATTTATCATGCTTTCTCCTAAAAGGTTGCATCCCAACTGTTCCTCCTCTCCGTGGGAGATGTGGCCGTGGTAGGGAAGTGTTGCAAACCTGTCTGAGGAAGGACAGTGGCGCAATCAAAACGAACGAGAGACCGACGTGCATGGGAGGGCAGAGGGGATGGGATGACCTCTGCACAAGGTCTTTGCTGGAACTGCTGTGGTAACCACAGAAATCATGAGGTTTTCAGATGGTTTTCAACCACATTAGGAAGTCCTGGTTCCTGAAGCCGAAGAGCTGAGTCTTGTTTTCCAAAGTTATTTTTATGGCTGTTCCTTTGCCACAAACTGCTGTCTGTTTAAGTGAGGTGCCTCTGTCATTCACAGCATGGCCAAAAAGAGCAGGTGGAATGCAGAGAGGGATGTAGGAGAGACATGCCACATCTAGCACAGCTGGTGGGGAGGGCTGCTGCTTCCTCTTCCTGCTCCCCAGCTTCCTTTTCTCCTCACCCATTAACGGCTGCTTTAGAAACCTCTTTGCAGAGGCTGGAGCAAAGTGCTACTTGCAGCTGCCATAGAGGAGATTTGGTACCCTTACTAACCATCACAAAACCAGAATCATTACGGTTGGAAAAGACTTTAAGATCATTGAGTCCAACCTTTGACTGTCATCTAGACCAGAGCACTTAGTGCCATGTCCAGTTATTTCTTGAACACTTCCAGGGACAGTGACTCCACCACCTCCCTGGGCAGCCCATTCCAATGCCTGACCACCGCTTCAGTGAAAAAATTCTTCCTGATGTCCACCCTGAACCTGGAACAGCTTGAGGCTCTTATGCTGTCACTTGTTGCCTCAGAGATGAGACAAACCCCCACCAAGCTACAAGCTTCTTTCAGGTAGTTGCAGAGAGCAATAAGGTCCCCCCTGAGCCTCCTTTTCTCCAGGCTAAACTACCCCAGCTCACTCTCACTGGATTTCCTCTGCAGACCCTTCACCAGCTCCATTGCCCTTCTCTGGACATGCTCCAGTACTTCAATGTCTTTCTTGTAGTGACGGGCCCAGCACTGGGCACAGCCTCCAGGTGTGGTCCCAGCAGTACCCAGTACAGAGGGACAATCACTGCCCTAGCCCTGCTGGCCACACTATTTTTGATACAGGCCAGGATGCCCTAGGCCTTCTTGGCCCCCTGGGCACTGCTGGCTCATTGTCAGCTCTTACCCAGCACCCCAGGTCCTTTCCAGGAACTGTTACCTAAGCCTGTAGTGCTGCATGAGGTTGTTGACCTCACTTGACCAAAGTGCAGGGCCTGGCACTTGGCCTTGCTGAACCTGAGGTTTGGGGTTATGTTCTGGGCCCTGCTGTGAAAGAGGCCAGAGGAGTTTCTATTCCACACCAACTTCTGCTGTTCCCTTTCTCTGCAGCAGCTTCTTCCAGGAAGCCTGTGGTCCTGGCTGCATAAGCATAAGTGGTCAGTGACACTAAAAT